AACCTGAGCTTCGGGAGTGCAGCGTGCTGTGAAAAAAGAACGCAAGGTAGGGGGGTTGTGAAAGCGGTGGCTTGTGCGTGTTAAGGGTATTGCTTCTGTCTCTGCAGGTCTGCCGCTCGGACCTGGCTTTTCCCAGGATGAGTGCCTGGGCGCCCTCCGATGCGCTGGGTCGGAGAGTTGTGTGTGGCACAGAGTATGCAACTGTGCGCTATGTTGGCAGTGTTCCTCCTACAGCAGGTAAACATCGCGATAGTAAATAACTTTTACATTGAATGATTTTATTTTTTTTAAGTTCTAATGTTTTTCTTAATTTAAAAGAAAAAAAGACTGATAGAATGTGACAATTTGCAAATAGGTTTTCCTCATTGTTCATGTGTAGATATGGCAGGTTCTAATCTAGATAAGTTGTTGGGTTTTTTAGAAGTCAGAGTTATCAAAGGAGTGTGAGAAGTACTTTTGGTTGAAATTGGTTATGTTTTTTCTTACACCAGAAAGATCTTGGTGCCTTCCTTTTCCCATTAGTTTTTGTGGACAGTCTGTTCCCTGATCTCTGTGTACGGGCATAGTCTGGGAAGGAGACAGGCAGCAGCAGCAGATCGACAGACTAGGCGGTCCTTTGATAACATATTCAAATGCATGGCAACAAGTAAGACTCAGCCTAGCTTGCTGCAAAATCTGACCAGTCTGATTGTGAGAGCACTATGTGTCATCTTTGAAAAATTGTGGTGACAGGATGGAGAGATTACTGATGCTTGGAAGAAGACTAGCTTTGCTTACAGCTCTAGAAGAGGCAAGAAGGATGACCAGGGAACTGTAGACTTATCAGCCTCATTTCGGTTCCTGGAAAGATCATGTAGCATGTTCTCTTAGAGTCCATTTCCAAGCCCATGAAGGACAAGATGGTAGTTGGGAATACTTGATACTTGCCAAGAAGAACAAGCAAAGCTAATTACCTTCTATGATGATATGACTGGAATGCGGACAAAGGGAGAATACGGGATGTAGTATTTCTTGATTTTAATACTGTCTCTATAAGGAGTCTTATTTGGTCGCAGGAGAATATAAGCCAGATGACTGAACTGTTAAGTGGGTTGAAAGTCCGCAGGTCTGTCAAGTGGAAAAGTGGTAACCAAAGACTTGATATCTGGTAATGTGTGAGCACTACAGAAATAAATGCTGAGGTGTCTATTATTTAGCATATTCATCAGTGTCTCAGATAATGAGCAGTGTTCACCATCAACAGGCTGATATGACAAAAGGTAGAATTGCAATGCAGAGCAAGCTTTATGAACTTCAAGTCTGGGTCTAAGAGATTCAAGAAGAAGGATAAATTTCCACATGTAGTGTGAAATAAACCCATGTACCAGTACAGATGAGGAAGCACTAGCAACCCACAGGCTTTATTGTAAAGGACTTGGGAGTTAAGGTGAATACTGTCACCAATATGAGGCAACAGTGAGCTCTTGTCACAAGCAAGATATATGTTGTACTGGGTTACATTAAAATGATGAACAAAGGGAGCTGTTTTCCCCCTCTGGGGGCAGAGGTTCTTGATAAGGTTGCACTTGGAATAATGTGTCTGGTTTGGGGCCATGCCAATTCAAGATGGCTGTGGATAAACTGGAGAGGATCCAGTCGAGGGCTGTCAGGGTGGCCAAGGGCATAGACCATGTACACGTGTTGTGAAGACAGATTGAGGGATCTGGGCTTGGTTAGTGTGGTGAAGAGAAGATTAAAGGGCATCTAATAGCTGCCTACAGCTGCTTGAAAGACTGTTACATAGATGACTGAGCCAAATTCTTACTCGTATTAGATTTATATAATAAGGGACAATGGCCACAAATTGTGGCTGGAAAGGTTCAGATTGGACAGCAGGAAAATATCAATAGAAGTAATGCAGCACTGGAATAGGCTGCACTAATAAATTGGAATTTCTCTCTCCTTGGAGATTTTCTAGGTGAAGACTTACCTAGCTGACCTGTTTTAGTGCTGATGATAATCTCCTGCTTTGAGAGAGAAGGTTAGAATAGATGAACTTCAGAGGTTCCTTCCAACCATGATTTCTTTGGCTATGATGCCATAAATTTGAAAATGTACCTACTATATTTTTCAGGAATTTGGCTTGGTGTTGAATGGGATGATCCTCAGAGAGGAAAGCATGATGGTACCTATGAAGGAACACAGTATTTTAAGTGCAGGTGAGTTGATTCACAGTGTTAGCATGTCATGTGTATTGACAAGATGATTATGGGAAAATGCCCTTTTGCAATTTTTAGGGCAAACCCTTTTGTTATCAGTTGGCTGATACTAAAAAGATAATAAATCTGAATGCTGTGACTAGCTATGCCATAAAGGCTGTTGTGTTGTTATTAATCCAGTTAGAGGTATTACAATATGGTAAGTACTTAGAAAGTACAAGTCGTGTTTTAAGAAATATGTAATAAAATGTGATTTTTGGATGTTATTAATATTACTTTTAGTACGTTCAGACCTTCTGCTTTAGTAAGGAAATCAGTATGTCCTACTTATCTTCCTTAGGTAATCCTGAACTGAAGTATTGGTTCGTATTAAGTGTCTCAAACATAGTTTAGATTTGGACTTAAGATGACTTGCATGCATCTTAAGGGAAAATACCAAGTTCCTGATAATGATTTGGATTATAGTTGTATCACTGAGGAATTGTTAAATATGTTTGCTTGCATTTAATACATGCAAAACACAGTGTAGCTCTGTGGGGTTTTTAAGTATATCCATCTATTACATTTAAGTTTAAAGACTCGAGCACTTAATGTGTTTGAAATTGGGGAGTACAGGACTCTAGGGTTGATGCTAACAGCAGCAAGCTGTTGATTTCCATGTCAGAGGACACTGCAGCAGCTAAAAGTTTGTGAGGTTAAAAAAATAACTGGACAAATTAATAGAAGAAAAGCCGTCAGTGGCCCTTAAATACTAAGGGCTGCTAGCTCAGTAAGTGCCTGAGCATTGAAGTGGTGAAGGATGAGAGAATATCCTGTGGGTATATCCTTAAAGTACTTGCCCTGTTGTTGTATTTTTCCCAACTGTTTTCTATTGGCTGCTTTTGGAGAAAGGATGTGGTGTTACATGGATGTTTTGACCGCTGGATCACAGCCAGTTTTACGTTAATGAGATGAAGTGGAGAGATTTCTAGGTCTTTATCCACCTCCTATTTTCCAAGGCTGGTAGTAACTGTAAAAGGCTGGTTTGATTGCAGTTTGTTCCTAACTGTTCGAGTGCACATTCAAGTGAAATGAATCTAATATAAATCAAATCCTTTGACAGTGAGCACTCAGAATTAATAGAAGGCTTTTGAAAATATGAAAGAAAGTGAGAAACCAAGAAAATAAATTAAAAGTTGTCTGTGGTCTTCCTTTTGGATGTGTTTTTGCTTTGGTTTGTTGGAAAGTGTAAGACTTTTCTCTGAAATTAATTCCTCATGTTAATTATCCTGAAAATGTTAAAGCCATCGGTGAGAGGACAAGCAAATCATCTTTCATTTACATGCAAGTTGAAAAAAAGTTGTAAGAATAGCTAGATGAAGTCAGTGCAAAGATTTGTCTTGCTTAGTTTCCTGCCTCTGACATTGGGTAATAGCAGATGACTGGAAAAGTGTGAAAGAACAAGAAAAGTACATAGTGACAGTTTTCCAGAGTCTCACTAGCTTTGACTAGTCATCGTTCAAAGATTTTTGCAGAGGCAGAGGTGGTGTATTTGTACAAGCATTTTGTTTTACTCTCAATGGATGATTCAAGAGAGAAAATTTGTTATGACAATTTCCTCCAAAAGAAAAATCAAAAGCATGTGGTAACAGTGCATGATTTTGCTAACCTTTGAGCAGGTGTTTTCAGCTTGTGAAAATTGTGATCATTTCCATTTTTATGAATAGATGGGTCTTGTTACTTTCTCCTATGTGAATATAGGAATATGATATGGAAGGGACTTAGAACTGTTGCTGTAAAGTGTCACGTAGGAAAAAAGAAAATTAAAATTATTATTTCTCTTTTGTGGGGAAAGTAGGTCTAGTTTTGAGTCTGCCAAAAGGTCTTCTGGAGACAGGTGGAATTCCCTGAGATAGCAAAGGAGGCTGCTGTATTTGTATCGAGACTTGACAGCAGTTCAGGGCTTGTTAAAGAATAAACTTTGTTATCAGTTAAGATCTAAGTTGTTCTCAAGCCAGCAAGTAGAGCTGTTTGGTCTCACACTGAATCAGCAGAAGAATTTATCTATTAAATAATTCAAAACTAAAAAGTAGCTATTTTGAAATCCTTTCTGGGAATACTATCTCTTACCTGTAGCCAAACAGGCATAAACAGGGAAGGGGTAGATCATGTTCAGTAGTCCAAATCAGAATTCTTAGTCTGTATCTTCTTAACTTCTACATTTGTGGAAGATGGAAGCCCTGGACACCTCATTGTCAGAAAATGAAATGATAAAACAAAATCTGTTCTTCAGAAAAATAAATAATTAAACCCCACCACCACCTGTGAGGACTGGATATTTTTTTCCTTGTATTTAATAATAAAGCAAGGCTTAAGGAGAATAAGGACACTCCTAATGGAAGAAAAACATTCCACATTGCTGGATTTTTCTTGGCTAGAGAATTGGAAATTATAGCCTTGGAGCAACCATCTCCTTTGAACGAATGGAGGAGGAGCAGGGGGGTTGGAACTAGATGATCTTTAAGGTGCCTTCCAACCCAACCCATTCTATGAATGTATTAGCAGAAATTGCTTCTTAAATGCTTTGAATTTGATTGAAGCAGTTTCTAAGTTGAAGCTAGTTATATTCTGCTGTAGGAGAAATAATAAAGGTAATTGACCATTCCGAATCTCTCTGGACAGAAGAAGCAATTGAACATGTTGTAGATGTTTTTCAGAACTTCAGTGCTTTATACATGTGTATAGACTGTTGCTTTTCTAGCAACCATTAGTGCGCTCCCAGGAGATGAGATAGATCATTTAGTGATCTCAATTCTTGTTGTAAGATTCATCTTCTTGAGTGAAGCTGCATATACCTATAACAAATTTAAATGTAGTGATCTTTAAACATGTTGTTCTTACAATGCCTGTTCTTTGTACTCTGCTTTGTTCCAATCAGAGAAAGTCCTTCTGGAATGTGAGAACAAATAATAGTTCTAGCAGTCAACCATGACTCACAGACACAACTTTCTGTGTGCAAACAGGTTCGTAGTTCATGTACCAATTGTGAAGATGTAGGCAAACTTAAGTAAAAATTATTACCTTATTTTATCAAAAAGATGCTAAAAACCCAAAATCTCACAACCTAAAATGTTGTCTCTTTACTGCAACTGTTAAGGGGGAGGGGGATTATGTTTCCTTATATAATATGTATACATACATAAAAATAAATAAAATTTCTCTATATTTTTTCACTCAAACCTTATCAATAGTATCTTTTGTTTATAAGCCTACTTTGCTCACTCCCTGAATTCTGATAAGCAGAAGTAGCTGATGGAGTAGATTGTACTGTAAACAAATGCAATGAAAGGATATTTTAAAATTCTTTTTAAGGTAATTTTGAAAAGAATGCTTTTAAAAAAATAAATCTTTCACAGAGTGACATTTCAAAATGAGATCATAAGAGGAAAATAAAACTGAATTTGAGATTCTCAGTACTAGAGGATGTTCTTCATAGTACATAATTTCATAAATCAGTAGGTCTGCTTACAGCTATATGTGGTCTTTGTATTAAGTTTTCTGGAAGTATGACCTAAACTTTTATGTTTCGTGGCAGTATGTTTACCTGGGTCATATATTATTTGGTACTAATTAGAGTTCTTAAGAATATGAGAAGCAAAGAACAAAACAGCCGTACTTCCAAATATGCTGACATCATGAGCATGTTCATCAAATCTTGATTAGCTGGAAATGCCAATGCATACCCTAGGTGCATTTTTGTGGTTTTTTTTTTTCCCCTGATAATAAAGTCTTGTTTCCTAATAACTGAGGAAGCTATTATTTTAGCCGTCAGTTGCAGTACTGCATCATGTAATTAAGATAAGCTGTGTTCTATAGTCCTTCAAGAGAAACGAGGAGTAATCAAGCCTTTGAATAGTGTTAAAATTTATATACAGCTTTTGAAAGATGAGTATGCATTCAAATAAGTTCTTGTCCCACAGTTAACGCATGTGCTGCTCTGGGAGACGTAGGTGACAAGCACACGCACCTCCCCTGGGTGTGCGAGTGCTTCAGCTGCACACACCTCCTCCTCTGGGAGATGTGGGTGCTCCTGCTTCTGTGTCCCTGCACTGCTTCCTGCAGCCTGTTAACGTGCGTGCTGGTAGAAAGCACCCCGGAGGGCACACATGCGCACTGAGATGTGGGATGTATGTGTTGTTCCCCATGATGTCTGTGCTCGCTGGGCAGAGACTTGCATCAGCTTCTGACCAGGAGGCAGCTCTGTCTGGCCTAGGCAGAGATGTGCTGCTGGCAGGGTCGTTTTTGATGGCATCAAACCAGGTTTTGCCTGCTGCTCTGGCACCCTCTTCTTTTTCCACACAGTTACAGATGTTCAGACTTCTTTTATGCTTCCTGTTAAGTGGAGTCCTTTCACTCCACCACCCCCACCACCCCCCCCCAAAAAAAAAAAGTCTCTGGTTACTGTTTAATCTGGCAGAAGGGTCATCTTCCTTCTTAGCCCTCCTCTCAGTCAGTTTTGGGTATTCCATTCACACATAGCATTTACACAGGCACTGCTATTTTAGCAGGTGTTTTAATCCTTGCCATTTTGCTGGGGGATATGTGTGGATTCCCCAGCAGATGACATACTTCTCTGCTTAGTTCACAAGATGAGAATAACATTCTGCTGTATTACTCATTTAGAGTACTTAATTGAAAGGAACAAGTCCACTCCTGATAAATAATATGTTTTGTTCTTCAGAGATCACTTTCCAGAGGAAATCATGATATTTCAGCAGATACTAGAAGTATTGACCATACTAAATTGTAATCCATTTCCCCAGGTTGGACTTTCACAGCAAGCCAGGGAAACAGAGGGAAGTAGAGTAAAGCTTGGTTCTGTGATGTGTTCAGCCTGGCAGAATTGCAACTGCTTTTCGGATGTTTGTGGCCTTTTTTCCCCCTTTGTGTATTAAGTTTTCTTCTTGTGGGAACTTTGACTTTTATGTATTGTGTAGTCCTGAAATGGCAAGTTATCCTGGTAAAGGCATTACATGTTTTCAGTTTTTCCCTTTTCAGTGAGTTTTATAAGTTGCAGATGAACATGTTTTTAAATTTACAGACAGAATTTGTAACCAATCAGATGTTGTTGTTTGCATGAAATTTATGCTCCTGCCCCCCAAAAAATCTGTTTATATTAAATTAGACTATCTCTCCTTCAAGAATGACAGATTCATCTCCAGCAATATCTACTTGGAGCACAAACAAACTCTTCAAATACAGAAATATCATTTTAGTGTCTATGAAGAAAAAGTGATTGCCATTTAGCAAGAGGAGAATGCGTTCCCAAGATTCCTTTCAGCCTCAGAAGGTCTCAGTTAGGAACTTTTGATTGTTTCACTCTGTGTCACTGTACACGTCAGAGACTTTTGCTCTCTGCTGTCATTAGAACAGTGTTGAAACAAAACCATTGTCCCTAACCACTATTCAAATGTGTCCTGTGCACCAGCAGAACCTTAAGATGGCATCTGGAACTGCAGATGTCTGTCTGTCCTTGTTTTGTGAAAGCTCAGACTCAGCCTTCATGTCTGTTTGACTAAGATAAACTTGCAAGAACTTCAAGTACTTGCTGATGTTTGCAAAGCTGCTGCAGTGCAGTCAGGAATTCAATACACCATAGCAGATTTGTGTTAGGTGTCACTTTAAGCCTTGTTAGCTGCCACAGCCTGTTCTAAAACTTAAAAGGTTTTCTTTACTGCATTGTGTAGATTCTTCTAAAAGAAGTCTGGTCTGTTGAGCACCTTCACCTTAAAGAAAAAGATCTGTTCAGGGCCTATCTAGAAAAGCTGTATGTAGATTCAACTGGCTATAATTTATGATACCTTAGAGCTTTGTCATGTGTGCACCCCCATCATGATGATAATTGCCTTGAAGTAATCATTGCAAACAGCAGATACAGGGCAAAGATGTTCTTCCGTCTACCTTTACTATCCAGGCTGATAAAACTGAGGTCTCTCCTTGGCTCAGAAGCTTGCTTCCACTGTCAGACAGCTCAAGTGTGTAACTGTTGGCAGAACACAGTTTAGGTACTACTGCGTTATACCTCGGGTATTGATAAGTGTGTGCGTGTGTGACATTTCTCTAGTAGGTGAAGAGCCACTGTGTACCTGTAATGATGAGCGGTGCCACCACTCTGTTTTACATTAGCAAAGAAGAATGATGCCAAATTTCCTCTTTGTTCAGGGAAATGGTTAACCAGTGGAAGTTGTTAGCTAATCTAAATTTTAATGAATACCTTCCAAGGGCCCTGGGCATGCTAGCAGATGGGTTGTATTGCTTCAAGCTACTGAATCATGAACAGAAAGCATCCTACAAGCTGACTTCTGAGATTGGGGTCAACCTCTCTATTTTAAAAGTCAGTGAGAAGTGTCACTATTAACCAGAGCCAGCTGGTTGTCAGAGCCCCACTTGGACATATTACAGATTCTCTGCTTAAGGAAATTGGGGCATATCTTCTACCACTTCTTTTGCATGGTGCACTGTCCTGACCGCAAGACCTTTTACATGCATGAGAGCAAAATCCTTGTTCTCAGACTTCTGAATGCTCAGCTTAAGTCAGGTTGATCAGTAGTCTGCAGGTCCTTTCCATCTCATGATATGCATGCTGGATGACTCTCTGGATTAGGATTTATCTGTTTAGGAGACTGATTGCTAAGAGGTTTGCTTTTTCATGAGTCCAAGTGCTGTACATTAGTTGTTTGATATGTACATATGGCTTGTACAGTTCATATTCCCTAGTGTGAAAGTTAATACAGGCAGGGTATTTTTGGGAAAATGAGTTACAGGAAGTGACCTCTCTCCTTGAACATATAATCATTTTGCCTGAAAATAGGTTCCTATTGCAAAGTCTCCTTTTCTGTCCTTCTGTGACAGTTCTTGAAAAAGTAGATCAAATTAATAGAATGGAACTCAAAAAGAAATTTAGACTGTGGAATAGGTTTGAGCATACATTAGATAAGATAGCATTCATAGTGCTTGGAAGTGATAGGAACAGGAGAAAGAAACACTATGATCTTGCTTTGATCAGAACAAAATATAGGAGGGGCTTGAGAGAGAAGTGCACCATACTTTTCCTGTCACTTCAAATGAAGGGGCAAGGTAGCTAGTCTCCTTTGCATTTTTTCCTGGGGATAGAACTAGCTCCCGCAAAGACAACAAGGAAGGAGATGCCAATAGAATAGTGACCTGAGAGGACAGAAAAAATGGCTTGGCTACACAAAGGATAAATGGCATAACAGGAGGGATGCAGATGTGGGGGTCTAGATTAGGTCTGGTTGGAGGGTTGGGGAGAGCAGAGGAAGAAAGGCAGAACTGTTGAGTGCAGAGGAATGGCAATGACAAAATGGGGAGAATTGAGGTGGTAGGAAAAAGGACAGCAGATGTCAGAATAAACATACAGCAGGACCTAAGGTGAATTACAGATAGACAAGAGTACAAGCTTTCTCTCCAGAGGCCCAAGTTGAATCCTGCACTATCTGCCATTTATGAAGCTGTTGACTTAATTAAATGCAAAAGTAGGAGTGATATACTTTGCAGGTAACAGATGTTATAGTTAAGATGGTAAAAATGTCATTTACTGTTTTAAGAAGTGGTGTTAAGAAAGAGTCACATAATTTTTTCATTTGAGGAAGTTTAACATTTAAACTAGCCAAATGTTTGAAAGCTATGAAGAACTTCAAAGGAAAGGAAGAAAAGACTTAAGACAAAAGTTCCTGGATTAAAAATGTTCAGAATTTAAAACGCTTATCAAACATGAAAGTATACACTGGGTTTACATTCTCTAAGAATATGCCTTTCTGCTTGTTTTATAATCATTGCAGTGCGATGATTATAAACTTAGTCACTACAAAACTAAACTGAAAATATTTTAAAAGTAAATAATACCTAGTTTCTACCCAGATCCTTCTTTAGGATACGAGAGTACTTAAATAAGTATTAGAAATGTTAATGAATGAATATGTGAATGAATAAAAATGTGAATATATGGTGCCCAGGCTATTCCATCTATTAGTAATAGGTCCATAGGATTCAGGGTCTCTAATTGCTGTTTTTCAGAGAGAATTTTGAACTCTGTAGAGTTGGTGGTTTATATTATGGTTTTCTAATTAGCCACTTGACGTTTACATGCTGTTTTGAAAAGAGGAGTTTTATTTACATAAGTGATTTCTTCCTCCTGGGTACTTTCCAACCAAAATCTGTACTCTTCTCAGCTGGAAGGCAGACAGGTAATCATAACCACCAATTTTCTTCCTGCTGTTTTCTGGCTGATCCTCCTATCACAGCTTCCATCTGCTCTGTGATACCATTCCCACAACTTGTCTCTGCCAGTTCTTCCTAGATACTGTGTTTCCTTGCTAACTTTGATAGAAATTGTCACGCAACCAAGTTTTTTCAGTGCTCAAGAAAAGCTACTAAACTTTGTAGGACTGTGTAGAACATTACATTAGCTGGATAATTCAGTTGACTATTCAGTTTCAAAATCGTTACCAAGTTAGTATTAGAATTTTTAAAAGTTGTAGTTAGTATAAGAATTCCAAGTGGTACAATTTGCATCTTATGTCATTTGTGTGGATGGAAGGACAAGGCTGCATTCCCTTAGAATTACTCAAGTGAAATATAATGAGACAATGACTATTCCGAGTATTCTTATGGGCCTTGTGCTGAGCTGAGACTCCAGACACAGTTGTTGTGCGATATAGGTAACTTTGTGTCTGTCCGTAGGTAGAAACTTAATTTTCTGGAAAAACTGAGTTCATAATGAGTTTGGAAACAACAGAGCAGTTATTTCTAATAATGGTATTGACGTTGTAATTTTAATGTGTAAGTAGATTTGGAGATCCGGTGCTTCAGTTCTCGTGGCATCTCACAATGTGAACTTGTTGGGTCAACTACTATCGATGATAATTTGCAAGTCTTACCTGGTCTCACTGAGTGGCAATGATGATGTCTAAAATTAGCTTGTGGAATTGCCTTTTGACTGCTTTGGTTCCCAGTATTTTAAAAAAATAATAATTAGTACTTTTGAGACTAGTCATTCTTATGATAACTTTTCATATTTCACCTTTTCTTGTCTGCTTTTTTGTAGGCATCCTAGAGGAGGATCATTTATCCGGCCAAACAAGGCCAATTTTGGAGTAGATTTTCTTACTGCAGTAAAGGACCGGTATGGATTGAATGATGAGCAAGATGGGACAGAGAACACATTAGTATTTGGAAAGAAGACTGTGGAATTTGTTGGCATGGATTCTATTGTAGAACAACAAAGGCAAGTGTAAAATATGAAAATCTAAGATACACTCTTAGTGATTGATTGGTCAAGTAGTAGTTCAACTGTAAGGAAAAGAAGACTATATGGTCCTCAAATGACTAGCATAATTATTCCATGGTTATTGGAGTATCGTTTTGCCTAAGAATGTTGAAGAAACTTGTTGAAGAAATAAAATAGATCATTCAAAAATTCTGATACTGAGTGTTTGATTTCATATATTTTATCTGATGTGATTGTGAGCTGCTGCCAAAAGAGATGACCTTCCTTGTTCCTTTTCTCTGGCTTGAACACCAGATTTGGTGGTTATGGAACAAAAAGGTGAGCCAGGTCAGCTCGTTGATCTAGTACAAAATCATTCTTTGTTTTGTGGGTTAGTTTTCCGTTGGATCAATGAATTGACTCAAGTTGTGTAGCCACCACACAGTTGCCCGATTGGAAAATGCTTGCTAGAAGAATTCATATAGGGAAATAGACGCATTTCTTTCTTGGCAGCAACCGTTAGTTAGACTGGGTTAGGTGAAATGGTAGGCTTTCTTGCCCCAAAAGTTACTCTTAGATTTCTTAAGTTAATTAGAAACTTGCGCACAACCTAAATTCAAGTAACTTTGGGTCTACAAATACTGCAGTGCTTTATCATGTTGGTACTTGTTTTCTTTTAACATGGCATTACAGCAGGACAGAAAAGGGGTTCCTGCTGGATGATAAATATCGTGTTACTGAGATTGACGGAGAACAACTTTACTATAATAGACTACTGAAATATATGATTTATGCATGAGTTTTCAGTGAATGGTAAACCAAGGATCCTGATAGCACACAGTTAAGGTGATTTGTGTGTCATCAATCATGTGTCTTACAATTTTATGTTTAGGCTTCCTTTAAATTCAGTTGCATTTTTGAAGTTGTTGGGTTAATGGCCATCTGCAATTGCTGATTCATATTTTCACCATGGATTTTATTTCAATGTTTCTTTTAAATTTGGAATTACAAGTTTGCTTCTCTTTTTTTAAACATTTATTGCTGTATAAGCACAGAATGAATTAGTCTTTCTGTACTGTTTGGGAGGATTTTACAGCATAAAATACTTATTTACTATTCTTGATTAAATTTTTTAAGAGTCCTGATCTTTTGCCTATCATTATATGAATCTAACGTAAACACCATCATGTTCAATTCTGAACACTAGAACACATTTTATTGGAGGAAGACTTTGAAATTGGTTACTGGACAAACAGTAAATTAAACTTTTAATAGTTTTCATAGTAAAACAATGTCTCAGTTGCGTGCTAGAGGATTCGTTAAAATAACTGAATAATATTGCTCTCCAAAATTACCTAGAAGTTGAAGCACCACTCTGATCGTAACATAGCGTTTGAAACATAACACATTTTTTACATGCATGTATTCTGCATGTATTCTGCATTTCTTGCAAGCAGTTTCTGTAAGTGACAAACTTTAAAGACATTAAGTACATTCTAATTTCATATAAACAAAGATTTTGCTTCTTTAACAGCTTTTGGTATATAATGGTCAGTGTCAGTTTTAGTTTTTTCTGTTAACTTCTGTTAACATTGCTTATTTATATTTTGACTAAGGGCATGATAAGGGTTTAGAAGGGCTTTAGCTCATGGTAGCTGGCTGCCTTGCATATAATATTGTCATATCTCTAAAAATAAGCCAAACTGACTATGGCGGAAGAGAAAAGAAATCTTACTATTGTGGCTTCATAATTTACGTGTTTTACAGAGAAGAAATGGGATTATTTGAGTGCTCACAGTCCTCACTTTAATTTCACAAAACAGAAGGTGATGACATTTGAGGAGGAATTAGTGAGATAAATTATCATGGTATTGGCAATCATACAAATGCATGGTACTTTTTAAATAGATGGATTTTAACGTTTTCTGAATATTGTACACTCTTATTTCATCTTTGTTTACTCATATCAGTAATGACTTTGTAACTAAGAGAGGGAAGACAAAAAGTCACTGTACTGCTAGTGAAGAACTCTTTCAGTCAGTTCATGTCATGTTCATTTATCTGGAAGGGAAAGGAAGAAGGAAGTAGCTTAATGATGTGTAATAGATTGCAGCAGTAGGGAGGTATTAGTTCAGTAGGTGGCAGTCTCCTTCTGAGCTGATAATTCCACAACTGTTCTTCCTTTGTCTCCCAGAACATACTAAACAGTCGAAAATACTCGTGTTTTGTTTCTTGTTTCTCCTTTTTCTTTTTGATAAGTGATACACAGAATGCCCAAATAACTTAGAACCTCTTGCAAAAAGTAATACAGGAAACCTGTTTAACCTGGAACCTCTAACTAAATTCCAATGTGCATAGCTTTTTGCCTGTTTTATCACTCTTTTTCAGTTGGAAGAGAGTTCGTTGGGTTTTATGGGGGGTGGGGAGTGGTTCAGCCAGGCCTATTTTGTAGTAGCAATGTAAAGGCAAAAAATAGAGGAAATGTGTCTGTTTTCAAGTAAGAAAGACACTGCAGTGTAGCAATCTGCACATAGCGAATTCTAAAGGAGATGATATGTATGAAAATGGTGTTATTTAGTTGTAACAACCAGGTATTTATATAACATACCTATTTCTGTTTGAAGATTACTTAACAGAATGTTCTTTCTCATTTAGCCAGCTGAACCAACTGGTAGATATCTCGGTGCGTGAGTGTGCAGTGAGCCATGCTGGTCAGAAAGAGGAAATCGGCAGAACGTGTTCTAGTATCCTTTTTTGCTATACTGCATGATACCACAAATGAAGTATATATTTTAGCATTCCAAGTGGCCATTTCAGTGAATGATATTTGCATCCTTTTATTAAAAATGTTTAAAACTGCAGTTTATGTTTAGAAGTTTAATGCAGTATTTACAGAGTTAAAAAGTAGATACTTACAATTTTTGAGAGGGAACGCAAATTGTGGATAAAAATAGAAATATCATCGTAGGTTGCTACTGTGACTGCAATTTCATAAGGCTCCAGCAACAGGTTGTTTTGTTTTGTTTTTTTTAATTTAACTCTAGAATAGATAACCCCATAAAAATACAAGTGATAAGTTCTGTAGGCACCAGAGGTTTCAAATATATAATAAATAATGTATTCAGTATACTGTGTGTTGTAGCGGTTACAGAAATACAAAGTAGGTATTATTTGTTCATTTGTAAGGACTGGTAGGAGTTCCTGTCAATACAGAAATTAATCCATTTTAGAATTTGTAAATTTAAGGTCTTTTATAAAACTATAGGCCATTTCCATACCACAAATCAAAATAAAATTTGCTGTGACTGAACAGTAGCATCTCTTACCCCAAACAAGTGTAATCTGTTTATTTGATTCAAAACCAAACCCTATTCTAATTTCTGAAAAAGGAAGTTCAGATTTGAGATAAGTTTCTTCTTTTTCTTAATGTGAAATTTCAGATATTAGGCATATAAATCTATCAAAAAATCTGATATCATCTTGGGAGACAGTAACAGCTATTGCTTCTCAAGTTCAAAATCTGGAAACACTTAATATCAGGTACAAATATGTGTATTTGGGATTCTGTTCCTTTGGGTAGGGACAAAAAAGAAGAGGATCTTTTAGATACAGGGTCAGCTTTCTAACAGTAACCAGATGCCTCAATATTCATTTTAATGGGAGCTACATTTTTAAATACTTTTTTTTTTTTTTTTTTTAAAATCTTGTCCTTAAAAAACCTCATGTGTGTGCTATGTTTTTCAGACATCCTTTTTCAAGGAAAGACTAGAACCCTAGAAGTTTAGCATCTATGTAAAACTAAATTCTGGAGGAGTACTTAGGACAGATGAATGTTGACTGAAGTTTTGTAAAATTAGAAAACTCACATTGTCTGAAAAATCATTGTCTGAAAAATAGAATACAGATTTTGGCCATTAAACATTTACAGGAATCAGGATGCATGAGAACACAGAGAATTTATTTTAATTCACCTAGAATGATTTTTTTCAGTTTTTCATTGTTGAGAAGTATAGTCTAGACTGAGGGGTTTTCAGAAGTTATTTGTGATAAAATTGGAAAGCAAAATGGGACTGATGCTGGAATCTGACGCTTATGACTGCAAACCTGTTTACTTCAAATACAGACAGATATTAGCAGGTAAGTCTGTTACTGAAGTTTTTGTGCAAGGAATGTTGGAAGAAGAATGCAGGTGATTAGCCATCCACCAGCTCACTAAGAGCTTGTTTAAATGGGGAAATTTAACCCATAAGTATGTAACTATAACTACTACACTGAGAGATTTTTATCATAGCACGCAGGTAGATCAGACCTTAGGAAAGAAATAAAAAATTTTGTTTGTGGGGTGAGTAATGAAACCTAATTTGAAGACTGCAGATTTGAGAATCTTATAACTATTTTATAGTGATATTTTGCTATTGAGAGTGGATTTTACATCCTTTTGTTTTACTGGCGTCTGGATAGTCACGTAGGCTCTTTATTTTCAATCGCCACTAAGGAGTTAATAGTGGCTAAGCC